AATAATGGTAATGATAATAATAATAATAATAATAATAATAATAATAATAATAATAATAATAATAATAATAATATTATTATTAACGGTAATGCTTTAAAAGATTGATTGATTACTAAAACATCAAAAAGGAACTATTCTAAAACATATTTTGTATTTTTCTCTTCTTTTTTTCCGTTTTGTTTCCGTATTATTTGTTATTATAACGCGTTTTTCTAGAAAAGCTACATATTCAGCGCACACTTTTACGCATCTGACTTTGTATATTTAAGAAGTTTTTTACGCTTAAGCACATACATTTAATACAAAAATATTATAATAATGAGTCATTATCATTATTATATAATTTTCGGTACAATTCTGACCCGCTCCGGATCTTTTTGCTTTTCTTCTTTCTCCTTTTGTCCCTTATTATATAAAAACATTTTTAACACTAACATTATATTTGCCTTATTATTATGCCTCTAAAACCAGACCAATACATATACTATATGATCATGTTTCACATTTAAAATGTTTTACAAATAAAACATTCATATTATGTTATATTTTTATTTGAGACGTAATATCCAGTGCCAGAAATGCTTCATTAGTCATAGACACGAGGGCGGTTTCGACTTCATGATGCTGGCAAAAAGCTGATTGGTGAGGGTTAAAAAGTTGGATTTCAGTGAAGCAAGGCAATTCCAGAGCCATATAATATATAAAGAGTTGCGACATTCCGAAAGTCACGTGGTCCATTTTTGTGTCCAAATCTTCCCGATGAACACATGCAAAGATATGAGTCACATGTTTAATTGTGTTAATGATGTTATTACTTAATTAATAACTACTTAATCAAAAGCGTGATTTACGCCTGTATTCTAAAAACAAACTTTAGTTGAACTTCGAACTAGAACTTCATTTAGTGCTAGTTGCAACTTCAACTTCAGGGGCGGATCCAGAGATGTCCAAAAGGGGGTGGGGGCGAAAGGGAAGGGGGCGAAATTTGGGCCGATCTAGACAACACTGAAATAGGAGGTCCGGGGGCATGCCCCCGCGAAATTTCTGTGTTTTAGACCCCCGAAAATAACATTTAAGGCGTTCTTGGCTACCGTTTTTTCTTTTTCTTTCTTTTTTTTATTTATTTTTTTATTTTTTTTACCTCTCAAAATATATGCTGAGAAGTTTTATCTACGACTAAATCAAGTCAGAGTTTTAGTTCAACTGAAGACGACTGGAAAGCCACGACTATCAAACTTAACCAATGGAAAAGGGCTAACTTTAATAGCGGTAACGCGGATGAATATTAAGTTGCCGTCTGTGGTTCCAAAACGTATTTCCTCATAATTCACAATAGATCATCATTCGCTTAATTAATTTTCTATAATAATAACTATATAGTTGTTAACATATTACGATAGAGAATTTAAACAGTCACTAAAAATTTGTTGTTGTTATGGTGAAAGTTCTTGGTCCTACGTGACCTCAACGTGAGAGATTCCGTGCAAATCAGGAACTGTTGCATGTGGCTAGCAAAACATGTTAATTTCTCCTTTTGCAAGCTAAACGATTAGTTGAAATATTTACCCCACGAT